TAACCTGCATAAGAGGTTTGCAATGGTGTGCACCCGAAGGCACGGATTGAAGAACCAGTCAGTGACGTCACAATATTCAATTTTGTTTAAATTCACACTTACGTAATCACCATGACCACAATTTTTTTTTACATTGAATCTTGAAAAAATATATAGACCTACCTACCCCCTTTTTTTGCTGTTACTGCTAACCAAAATATTGTTAAGGATGGCCTTATAGTATTTAAATAGAAGACACTTTGACAGCACTACTGAAGGATTTTAGAGCACTAGTGTGCTGTATAATGTTTTACATTAGACTTGAGGAGTATTTAAGGCACAAACTTGGCTAAATGTCAACACTCAATGGTAGTCCATTTATGGGTGTTTAAGCTTTTGTCTGAGTTGACCTATGTCTTCTCAGGTGGAGTCAATCCGTCCTCCACACCATTCATGTCTCCATCAACGCCCCACTCTTTCCTCCCAGCAGCACATCTGGGTAAGAGACTGTCTCTGAGAAAGTAGGGGCATCAAAAGCTAATGTTACCCATGCTGCTCTTGTGGCTCTATTCTCGGGCTTGCTTCAATCGCTAGCTTTGTAGAGCATAATTTTCTCTTTTAGTAGAACAATGATGTCTGATTTCATCATCACTAATAGCTGTTTCTTGTTGCAGAACCATATGTTCGTTCACCTCCCTTCTCCTCTTTGGGAGCCCTGGGTTCTGGTGCCTTTGGAGGTCTAGGCAGCCCCACAATAGGTTTGTCATGCTGTTTTTTTTATGAAGATGTATTAATCAGTAGGATTTTTCTTACTTGCCCCTTGAGTCAAGATTGAAAATCATTTTTTTGTGATTTAATGGATAAAGATTTGTAAAAAAAAAAAAAAAATTTCTTACTATTGGTACTCAATAAAATATTGTAGACCTTGGTTGGCATCACTAGAAAATGGATATGGATGGGTATTCATTATAAAATGAATTTAGTTGAGAAATTAGGGTTTAGTTGAGAAATTAGTTTTAAAATTAGACTTCCTCATACATCAAGGAATCCTAGTTCTCTAAAGAAAAAAACAGTTGTTGCGGGGTGAATCAAAATCGGACATTTTTGTGTTTTTAGTTTTTGTGTCATTGTAATGCTAGTTTTGTCTAAATTTTAAACCGTTTTAAGTCATCTTAAGGCCCCCCTGGTAGTTTGCTGAGGCCCCTGTTGAGAACCACTGCTTTAACTTGAATCTGTTTTTATAAACATTTCTTAAGCATTTTAATTAAAAGGTTTCTCAAATGTTAATTTAAGTAGTGGTTTGCTTTATCAGTCACATTCTTCTCTCAACCAAAGACTAATAAAATTTGATACCTTTCCTTTTAGCGGCCACTGTTTTTGGACACAAGACTGAGCCCTCCGCAAATGCAGTTGGAGCATTAGGTAACCCCCATGATCCATGGAATCGTCTGCATGTTACTCCATCCTCTTTCCCCTCTGGATCTTCTTGGGCCAAAGGACCAGAGAAAAAAGATGATCGAGGAAAGGAAGTGGAGAAAAGGGAGCTGACTCATATAAAAGATGAAAAGGACAGGTATGACATTACAACAAAATACTTTTTGTTCACGTTAACTTTAAATGGTTTGTTGTCATTAGGGGCTTTTAAGATCAAATGTGAATTATGTATTGTGTCTCTCAATTTGACACATACCTAAATGGTTTAATACTGTTTCACACAGAGACAGTCTCATGTATGGACGCCCACCAGTGCGAATGTCACCTGGTGTCCCATCCCTAAGGCACCGCAGCAACACCCCCAGTTCACATTTGAATGGATTGGGTCCACTGAGCATAGGTGGGGTCCCTTCAGATGGCCAAAGCAGAGAGCGTGAACGAGAGAGAGAGTCAGACAAGAGACAACATTCTGCATCCAGGACACCAGCGTCGGCTTCCTCCACAGCACCGGACAGACCTCGATCTTCAACATCTTCTATTCTCACAAACTCTCCTTCTAATGTCCGCTTAGCTTCTTCTCCTCTGGATCTATTTCACCGACAGCCACCACACACGCTCAGCACTGAATCAAGTCACTCTTTGCAAAGAGAAAACAATGGTCTAGCCTCTTCCTCTTCTAGTTCGCTTCCAGTAAAGAAACCTGATCGGACCACAACTCCCGTATCCAAGCCTGTACTTGGTCTAACCTCTGGGCTGCTCCTCCCCCAAGTCAAGGTCAAAGAAGAGCGTAAAGAGGAGCCTGAGCCAGTGCCCATCTCCTTACCGCATCAAGCCATAACTCAACACAACTTTGAACGGCCCAGTAGTCGACACACACACCATCCATCCACCCCTTCCTCAACCCTCTCATTGACACCTACACCTGGCATGTCTCTTCCTCCTGCAACTCCACACCCTCCCCATCATCATCATCATCCTCTGTCCCTTTTAGATCGTTCACGGGCCATTGATGCCTATCTCGGTGGTGCTGGAGGCTCAGCCGGATTGGTATTAGGTACTGAACGTTTTCCACCCCATCCGCATGGTCCTCCGCAAGGTCATTCCCAAGCCACTCACAGCTTTCCCTGGGACCCTTGGAGGGATCTGGCTGCCCAACAACAGCAACAACGCAGGGAAGTATTGACTCTTAGGTCAGATCACCACCTTGCACTTCGCTCTGATCCACACTTGTCTAGACTTCTCCAGCATCAGCAGGTACAGCGATTTTTGGAGGCTGAGAGAGCTGCAGTTGCGGCCGCTGTGGCGAACAGTCCGCACCATCCACAAGTACCTACCTCTACGTCTTCTGCTTCAGCAGGCAGGTCAGATTTTGGTTTGATGCACCACCCCTTTGATGAGGAACAGCGTGCTCAGATACTGCGGGAAGACTTTGAGAGGGCACGGTACTTTGGGATGCATCCACATCCGCATCTGTCTGCCCCTCACCTTCCTAGCCCATCTCATGCTGCCCACCTTGAACAGCTTCATGCAGGGCTACTGTCTCACTCTCATCTCCATCCAGCTGGAGCACAAGCATCGCATCACCCTGGCCTCTACTCTAGACTTGGACCTCTGCATTCACACTCTCATGTACCGAATGGCATTCTAAACAAGAATCCAGGTCTAGTTGGGGCATTGTCAGTTGGGGCACCACCACCTCTCATTCCATCTGTTAACAGATCTTCTACTCCACCCCGTGGCTCTAGACTTGGCGGGGCTGGAGACATGGCCCTTTTTACCACACATAAAGATGGAGAGTCGAGATAGTACTAAAGCTTGAGGAGCTTCCAGAACTACATTGCTGAAGAAATGGCTCCTCACATGGCAAGGTTCTGCAGGACACTCAAAAAAAGAGTTAAGCTTCAATGACCATACACAAGTGTTGAAACAACCTGGGAAGGGAACTGAGACACTACCCAGGGCTGTTTGATACATTTATCCACTGTGGTTATGTTGGTGCAATTTAGGTACTCTCTTGCTGTGACCTGATTTTTATGTTGAGTTTTCTTTAAAAAGAGGCCTGTGGATGCTCAAAGACAATTCATTGCTACTAATAATATGAAGACAAGTTATGGTGGAAAGTGGTGGATCAAAAATTGCGAACCTGTTTGTCTTAGTGAACTCAAGGAAACCCTATTGTAGAGTTATCGTCCTCCGCTTCACATTTGAAGAAAGAGAAATCAGACCCTGGCTGAAGTAATCAAGTACTTCTCATTGTCTGAATCAGCACTGTTGACAGATGTATGAATTAAAAGAAACACTTGGTCCACATTCTGCTTTAAATATTCAAGTCATCCATCAGACAACTTCCATTAACATCAGAATGAACTTAAGATTTATTTTATTCTTTAAAAAAAGTTATTACGAACTGTATGTACATCTTGTTGGATAATATTTTAAAATGTAAAGGGAAAGAACTGTCTCCCATTCATTAGTCTGACTCGGTACAAGAGCTGGGCCAGAATATAGTAGAATAGTGATATTGCTTTTGTAATAATTATTGTTAACATTAATTACCTTCCATAATAAATATATTCACTGTTTATGTTATGTCATGTTTCAGGTCTTACCAAATGCACTCACTTGTTGAAATAAGTCAGAGATATGATTATTGTCCAGCAAAGCACTCCAGTGATATATTTTGCTCCAATATACTGGTTATGTTCAAGTTAATGTGCTGAGGATGTATCAAGCCAGCCTATACAGTTCAGAGAATTGGGTATCTTCATACTTTGGGAGAGAGGTGTGTTATGTCTGTTTTCCACAGTTGAAGCCTTTGGAAGTCTCCAACAACCATCATCCAAACACAGAGAGGCACGAGGCATCTTTTGACTGGACTAAAGAAGTGCACGTCTTGTACTTGCAGCTACACGATTAGAAATACTCTTGAGATACAGGACATTCTGGATTATTTGAGCAAAACAATTTTATACGTTTTAAATATGTCCTTTTCCCCCCTTGAAAAGAGAAACAAAGATTAATTATTAAACAAATGGTTGGTTATTTACATGTGTTAGTGTATTGATTCATTTCACAAGTATAAATGATACATGTCGTATTACTGACCCTTATCAAAAATTATTTCAGAGCCAAATTGTGACTTCTCTGACTAAACTTTGCATATGTTCTTTTAATTAATGTGGCATATGTGCACTAAACATTAATTGTCACCTTAAGTAAAATTCAGTTGTTCTGAAAGTGTATCTAGAGTCGTTAATAGCATAATATTTGTTATTGTCTGTGGATAAAAACTTTCTTAAAATGAGTCTAAAATTAGTGAAAAGAATCATCAGTAATGTTTACCTTATGTCAAACTGCTGCCAGTCAGGCAGTGAGATACTATTTTAAGAAATAATTTGAAAAAACAAATATGTGTTATAAAGTTTCGTGCAAACAAGTCTTGGATTTGTTCGAAATAGAACAAATAAAACTTTCAATAGCGGCTGAGGTATCTGCAGTCTCAGAATCCTGCAGTGAGGGAAGTGTGCGCTGAAGCACGTCTCGCGAGATGTCTATTCGCTCCGCAACTTGGTCAGCAGTCGCTCGTTCCTCCATTTCGCTGCGTCGAAAGTCTCCTCCCCGCAACCGCTAGATTCAGCGATTCCGGACCCAGTCTCTGTCGGACCGTTCTTTAACTTGATCCTACGAACCTGCCAGTACCTCACTGGGTACCGAGAGACAGTTCGGAATAGTCTCAACATGGATTGAGTACGATTTGAAGCGGATGGCGACTCCTTCAGCGAGAATTTAGTAAAAGTAAAGTGCTCGGAAATTTCAGGTAGGTGGGAACTTAAGATGGCGGTGGTGAGAGGAGGGGGGAATGCTGGGGAGGAAGTGATAGAAGAGGGCGGGGGAGGAGGGTAAGGGGGTCACTGGGGGAGATTTTGACATGGCGGGACAAGTTGACTTTCAACCGGTCGGGTGCTTAAAGTATGGGTTGTGTAAGATTAAGTGTAAAGTACGGCCTTTATTGAACTGACTCGACTTGTATCAACTGCACATTTTTATCATTGCACCTTGCTCCGTATGGTCTAATTTAATTGCAAAATACAGAATTGTACCCAAATCCGTAGCAAGTCAGATAGGTTCCGGTTTCCTTTGTACCGCACACTTTTGTGAGGGCAAGCTGGAAACGAAACTGTCGTCTGTCACTGCGAGTGCAACAACGAAGTTGTTATGTTGTGCGTTTTACTTTAATATCCTCCATTACGTTTTAAGTGTCCTTAGTTAAAACGCTTATTCGTATAAAATGTAATATCAACCTGCTATGAGTCATGAAGATAAAGTGAATCCAGTATATAGTAAGCATGACATTATGTAGAATTATTGACTAGTGATGGAAAGTCCAACTCGTTTCTGCGCATCAGTTCTTTCGAGCAAAACGACTCAAGAACCGACTCAGTGATTCTTTGTCATCCAGTGGTCCCTAAACAACTTCCCTAATAAAGCTAACTGTTGGCACATTTAGCTGTTTACCTTTCATCTTTGTAATTACAAGTTATTTGGAACCTAAATATAATATTTCATACATTAAATAGTACTGAAATGCACTCATATCTTGTCAAATAGGTTACAAAGGTTTTAATCAAATGCTAAAATGTTATTTATTAAAAATAAAAAGTGCAACTGTTTCGTTTGCGTGTTGATCAAACTGTCAAACCGTATACTTGTTTATAAAACTCTCATCCGATTACAGAACGTATTTTTTTTTTTTTTAATTAACAATCGGGTATAAAACTAACTTTCATTTTGAAAAGATCCGACTCAAAAGAACGACCTGTTCGCGAATCGGGGATCGCTAGTTGACTGGCTTTTTTTTTGTGTAGCGTGACCCCGCGCAGTGACGTCAAGACGTAGTTCCTGTAATGGGTGTTATAATAAATATACAATAATATGTTTGTTTTTCACAAGTCTTTAAAAACCATCGATATGGATAATGATGAGATATAGGCTAGTTTATTCTTGATCATTGCATAACTTCTTATGGAAGCCCATGTATACACGCGAGCTCTTTGCTCGAGCAATGTTTTCAGAGCGCGCGTGAGAGCTTGAGACGGTGTGTGTATTTATATATAATATATACAAATATGAATGTGTTTGTCTGAGTCAGATAATTAGATAATAATAACAGACACCCTCTTACACACTGTTACACAAAACAGCCAAAGAATGTAGCTCCATGTCATTTAAACGCCTATAACAAATTAAACGTTGTCGTGTCTGTCGGCTCCATTGCAACGTCTATAAGCAATTAGCATTTTTGCTAGCCTGCTAAAGGCTCATGTGTGTGCGCCCGCCTTATGTATACAGAACCGCCGGCTATATTCATTATCTGTATTTCGATATTACACATTATCCGCCATACTATCTTCTGAAGTTTATGAACAATCGTGGAAGAATAACGTCCGAACAAGCTTTAACTCGTCACTAAAGGCTAGTTGAACGTGAAGCACCCGCACTATTGTACTGAATGAGACTGTTTGTCCGGCTATACAACAGTTTTTCTTTTTAACTTTCAATTTATTGGATGTGTTTTAAAACGTGTGTGCAGTTAGTGTTCCTGTTTAAAATCACAATATATTATTTCGTTTAGCATATGTTCGATAGATTAATATTAGCGATACTTATGCATTTCCTATATTTCTAAAAAAGAGTACTGCCAACAAACACCATTTACCCGAGTTTGCTCGGAGTTATTTCGCTGTTATTTTCACTTGCTTTTAACCACCGACAACGTAGAATAGATTAGGTTTTAAGGAAATTACATAGTCCTTCTCCAGCTAAATCATCTATAATTTGCTTTCTAAAAAACATGTTTTTATCTCATTTGTCATTATGCACTTACTGAATCTTCAGGATAATGTATTTGATGTTACATTCATGAAATTAACTCTAAATGTTTATCTTTAGACCCTCAGATGCAGCGGTACCCTTGATCTCAGCATCCTGGAAGTGGAAATCACGGAAGAGACTGGTGCTTCATCACATAGAGGTATTTATCTATTTTATTTATTTTTTAGTTATATGCATGCCCACTTGGAATGTGCGGTAGTAGTAGAATTATACGCTTTCCTTAAAACCAATGCCTATCACCAGGGTCGGCGCTATGGTGGGGCATTCGAGGGCCGTGCCCCCCCTAGCGCTCATTGATGCCCCTCCTACCACAGTTTCTAATACAATGCTAAATCATAAATCAGATGTAGGCTATACAATACCAAATGTCCAGCAATCTATTTGAATAGCACATTGTGTTTAATTTGTTGTCTAATTGGATGTAATGTGTTGGTGCCAAGAATTTTCACGTGAAGAAATACATGCATCCAATTCTATTTTTTATCGCAAGTGTTGTTGGTCCAGTGGTAGAAATTTAGACTGGCACGCATGAGATTGTGGTTTCGAGTCCACACTCGTGTAGATATTTTTTTCCCCCCATCATTATAACCGATTATGTTTATCAGTGGTTGTCAAGCAGGGACATGTTTGAGTGCATTTTACTTGTACGAATAGAGATTTCGCCGCAACAGATCAAGCGCGCGTCCGTGTGAAGATGTTTATTGTGGCAGCGCGAGACACAAGAGAACACTTTATCAGCACCACAGATCGAGTCAACGAGCACTTTGATCACTTGATTTAAAAAACAACACATTTCAGCGTGCTATATCGCCTCTTATTTAACAAATGAATGCTCTGTAAACCGGATATTTATTTGTATTGGTACATCCGTGCCGCGAGATGTATAAAAGTGCTGGGACAACATCGACCCTGGCAAAAAGTGGTGGGGAAATTCGCAAATAATAATTTTAAATAATAATTATAATAATAAAAGGTGTTTCGTTTTTTTTTTTTGTTTGTTTTTTTTTTTGCTTAAACGGCAGTGCCCCCCCGCTGATGACCCAATGCCCCTCCAGTAGATCTGCTCTGGCGCCGACTCTGCCTATCACCCATGCATTTAAAAAAAAAAAAATCTTCCTCCCCTTGCTTCCTCCCCTCTCTCAGCTTTAAATAACACCATATTTAAATACTGCTTAAAAATAATCTTGAAACAAAAATTAATATTAGACAAAAATGACAGCAGATTTCACATAGATGTTTTATTGGTTTAGATGTTCATTTCAACATCTCACTGTTCTTTCAGGTTCAGTGTGTAGCACTGCCGGTTCTGAAGCAGGGCAGTCTGGGGAAGAGGCGGTGCGGCAGCACACCTGTCCGGCAGTGGCTGTGCTGGGTGGCACGTCCGTGGCTGCGCAGAATGTGGCTGGGCCACCCCAGCATGCCCTGCAGCCAGTCGCAGCTGCCACTCTACCATCGTCATCGGTTAACATCGGCACTGGATCTCAGCAGCAGAAAGGAGACTCAAAGGCTGCATGTAAAGAACAGACTATCGCTCGCGTTCAACGAAGCAGTGACATCAAGGAACCCGAGGAGATATTGGCGGTCCAAAGAGGACTGGTGTCAGCTACTGATAAAAACTCACAAAAGCCTACAGACGTATTGGAGGATCAGACTCCCTCAGACAAACTTTTTGAAAGCGGGACCGATAGTATTGGGCAAAAACAGGATTTACTTTACGGGTGTAACACAAAGCAATCGAGCCTTGCATACAGGGAGGACGATATGGCGGAAGGATCCAGCACAGGCCACTGCCAAGATTGGAGCCAACACCCCGGAGATGCAGGGGGTGTCACTGCCCCTATTGAGGCAGAAAAGGGACCCTTGCCTCCAGAGACAATCAAATTGGACTACAAGAACATGTGTGGAAAGCACACACATGGAGAAAGCCCCTGTGATCCAAGAACAGAAGTCATGCCACCAGTCTCGAGTGCAGTTAAGACTACAGAGAGAGACATGGAGCAGCTTCAAACAACTCCCCTTTTTCAGACAAATCAGACTGCCGCCTCATCTGCATTTGACGTCCTACAAGAACAAAATACGACAAATTCAGCGAAGCAGGCTAGTAAACTTGACTCTAAGGAGGCTATGGAAGTTTTCACACAAGATCTGCCTAAAACAAACAAAGAAGGTGCCGTTAGTCCAGGTAGACAAAACTTGTCAGCTGAGGGAACAAAACAAGGTATTTGCGGAAATTCTCTTTGCTCAGGAAATTCATCATCAAAACAAGGGGGGCAGCACATTACCCCCGAGAGTGGAAATAGCATGCAAAATGACTCCGATAAGGGCAGCTGTTATCCCTCAGAGGACTGCAGTAAAACACAAAGGGCTACACAAAAGACAAGCCCCCTTCATAAAACACCTGGCGTGCCCACCCCGCCTGAGAATACAAAGTGTGTGCAAGAGCTAAGCTCTCAGTATGTACATGTAAGTGAAACCCCAAAAATGTTTGTGTTGGGTAAAGAGACTAGTGCAACGGAGGGACAAGGCAATAAGAAAGTCCCCGTTGATGGAGATCTGTGTTCTAACGTGGCTGCTAAAGAAGTATTTCACAACATTTCTGTTGATGAACCAAAGCTGTCTGGGCATGTGACATGCACTGACAATGTACAGGTCTCCATTGTGAGTGAAAGGTCACAAGTTAGGGTTTGCGGCTCTTCTGGTGTGATTTTGAAGCAGAATGACAGTGCCAATCCAATAGAAATATCTATGTCCTCAAATCACCAACAGGATAGGAGCATGCTGCTCGCTCACACAGAGAACTGTGTGACTTTAGAGGGTCAAGAATCAGATCAGCCAAATCTTTGTGACTCTATGGTCCAACAAGTACAAGCGTCCATTCCAGCAGATCATAAACTCTCACAAATTCAGATATGCCTGAATGACAACCCAGATATCGTGACTGTGGGAGAAAGGCAGGAAGTGAGTGCAGAGGCTCTCAATGCTGTCAAGGTGAAAGATTTGATTGATGCAGGTATTTTAATGCAGCCAGATTTGGAGGATACTTGGCTGGTTGTAAGTGAGATAGACGAGCAGTCCGAGCATGCAGAGATGGAGGTCAGCGAGGAGTCTCTGGTGCAGTGCCCCGAATCCCAGTCAACTGTTGCTGTATATGAATGCACGGTGCCCTGCTTTACATCCGCTGCCATTCACAGTGAAGTTAAGCTCCTGTTAACTGACAAAGAAGAGGAGGAACCAATGGAAACACTGTCGCAAGACTCACAAGCCCAGAGTAATCTAGGGACTCATTCTGATACACTCAAACCCACCGGAGATTTAAGGACCATACCTTCTATGCAAAAAGAAGGATCTATAATTGTCAAGCAACATGAGGATTCAAGTCCCACTGATCTTGCGAATGCATTGACTGGGTTAACATCCACAGTGTTGGATGGCACGCTTAACTCTGTGCAAGAGCAGCAGCAATCTGATGTAGTGGAAAACAGACAAGGTGTGTCATTAATTTCATTGTCTTGTGGCACAATTGACCCAATGCTATTGATCTTAAAGAAGGGTGACAGCCCTGCCCTTAAGCAACCTTCTTCTCTGTCAGCTAGGATTTCAACCAATCAGAACTCCCTTGTCCAGGCTGGATCCCCCAGTGATGGATTAAATAAAGCTTCAGAGTGCCTTGCTAAAACTGTTACAGCTGCATCTCCCACAGTAAAAGAGGATGCTACGTTACCTGCTGACCGCGCCGTCTCAAACACTTTCTCTTTGTGTTCTCAGACTGTTTCCACTTCTAATGTACATTCACAGGAAAGACCTGTGAAAGAAAACGTAAATAAATCGAAGAGTTCTGGCAAGATGCTTCAAAATGAATCCTCTCCTAACACTTCATCAGCTTCAGTACAACTCCATAACACACAAAGCCACCTTACTCTATCTACTGGTGATGTGTGCGGCACCGGATCCAGTGTTGTCCCCGAGGGGAATCAGTGTAAACCGTCATCGGCCGCTACACCATGCCAAGATTCAATGTCTTTGGAAGGTGAATTGGAGTTGGAGCAGCATCTGTTGTCAGACAAACTTTTGTCAACAATGCAAAATGTTGAACACACCATCCTGGAGCCACTTGATGCATCTGTAGAAGAGAGCAGCGACGGAGAGGTTGACAGCTCTATGGAGGTCCAGAATGAGGACAGCAATGCTATGCCCAGTCCAGCAGTGAACAAGGTAAAAGCTACTTAACTCTTATGTGTTGTATATCAAATACAACAAATTGGACTTGAGATCACTACTACATCATTGTTCGTGTTTAGTCACAATGAAGGCATCAGAGGTAGTCAGCAAAACTGTTTTTATAATTCAGATAGCCTGTGTACACACAGTCTTTAACAGTTTCAAAGCCATAGTCTGTTGCTAGTGCACTTCTTGGCTGTATATTAAGCCATGTGTGTTTTCCAGCATGGGCAGAGCAGGACAGACAGACAAGGCTTGTTATTGAAGGTAAGAGGTGTCAGGCATCCTTCAAATCTGATCGTTGCAAATTGTTGCGATGATCCTGCTTCTTCCAACTAGTGGTTGACCGATATAGGTTTCAGTATGTACTATGTAGGCTAATATACAATTTATTCTTTTCAAATATGCTGCTGACAAAGTGAACATTTATTTGACCAAATATTTAAATTCAGAAAAGGGGGGAAAGTAAAGGTGCGTTCAATCAGCCAAGTTGGCATGGTTTCTCACTGATGCCAAAAATCTCAAAATGGCCAGGTAATTGATCTGGAATATATATATCGGTCTGTCACTGCTTCAACTCACTTTCTTGCATTTATAAAAATAAATTCAAGTACATTCTGGAAGGAAAATAGAGCTGAGTGTATGAAACTGTTTTAATACCTAGAGTAGCATGTATTATTTAGAAATAAGGAGAAATCTTGTAAGATGTTTGCTCACCAAGATGTCCTTGTAGACTTTCCTGTTTTTATGAAGCTCTTTTTATCTCTTCTGGGTCACTCTGTCTCTCCTTTGTACTCTACGCTGAATAATATTGCGCGGTCACAGTCAGATACACTGTTTTATTTGTCTGTCCCAAGGTTTGCCAATGGATTGCAGGCAAGGTTACTGCAGCCTCTACTCCTTCCTCCTCCCCCGTTCCATGTCCATCTCCATCTCCCACATCTGGTGACTGGATGCGTTCTCACACAGGCAGAGGATCGCCTGTACTCAACTCGCATGGCAAAAACATGCCCTCCACTTCCTCCCAGGGTTCTGGAGGCTGTTCTCAGTCAGAGCAAACAACCACCCTGAAATCCACTCCTAAGCACGCAGACATGGCAGAACTGGCAAAACATGTAAGAGAAGGATAAATTACATAATTTACTCTCTGAAACAGAGATTGACATTCATAAGTTGACGTTTTTTACTTTTAATAGGAAGCAGAAATAGAACATCGAACCCTTGCACTAAAGCGTGAAGGTTTCTGGTCCCTAAAACGCCTGTCTCGTATAACCGAACCAGTACGGCCAAAAGTTCATTGGGATTACCTCTGTGAGGAAATGCAGTGGCTCTCTGCAGATTTTGCACAAGAGAGGCGATGGAAAAGAGGAGTGGCCCGAAAGGTAAATGTTGCATCCAGGCTATCCTTTTTGAAACATGCTGTTTGTATTTTGATAATCTTAACAGTCTGAACTCATTTTCAGGTAGTACGGATGGTGATGCGCCACCATGAGGAGCTGAGGCAGAAGGAAGAGAGAGCGAAACGTGAGGAGCAGGCCAAACTAAGGAGAGTTGCTTCTTCTATTGCCAAGGAGGTCCGCGCCTTCTGGAGCAGTGTTGAGAAGGTGACTTTCATTGTTTTATTTTTGGACAAAATCTGTTGTACTAAAGACTATTCATGCTTTAACTGATTCCCACTCATTGCTGTACACAGGTGGTCCAGTATAAACAACAGTCCAGACTGGAGGAGAAGAGGAAGAAGGCCCTAGATCTCCAGCTGGATTTCATTGTGGGTCAGACAGAGCGTTACTCTGACTTGTTAAGTCAGTCCCTGCATGCCGCTCCTGAACACAGTTCAGACACTGCAGCTGTCTCAAAAGAACCACAGCTGAATGCTGTTGATGATGATGGTGAGGACTGACTTTTGTTTTGTTTTACTGTGGTGTTGTTCAGATTAAGTATCTTGGAAGTAAATTAACTTGGGCTGTCCCCTAATAGGCGACTAAAAGTTAGTCGTCGAGTAGAGGCTTAGTCGACCAAAAAATTTGTTTCGTGAATATGTTAGGTCAGGTTCACAGAGAGACTGGTTTTTAACAGTATCTAATGTTGCATTCAAAACCTAGCAAATATGGTATTTCTTTATTATATTAAGCTTGTGCTATTTTGGTTTTGATATTTTATGTAATGCAATGGTTCATTCAAAACAACATAAAAAAAAACATGGCTCAAGTGTCCAAATTCTGTGGGGCCACTGTACAGATAAAGATTGTGTTTTAATACATTTAGTGAATTGAAAATCTGCTCTTTTGAGTGTTTTTGTGTGCAGTATGGTTTGAAATGTTTTGACCACAATTAAGGAAATTATTTTTTACACTTTAAGTTAATTTATAAATTGTCCCTTTTCTGCTGCAGATAGAGACTTTGAGCCACCTTGTGAGGAGGATGATGATGAAGAGACCATAGAGGTAGAGGAGCAGCAAGAGGGGAATGATGCAGAGACACAAAGGCGAGAGATAGAGTTACTGAGGGAGGAGGGCACTCTGCCTCTGGACCAGCTACTCAGTACTTTAACTCTTCCCAAGGTACAGCAATCTCCCAGGATCAACTCCAACACTCATTGGTCACATGCACTCTAGTTAAAGGGTTAGTTTAGCCAAAAATGAAAATTATCCCATAATTTACTCACCCTCAAGCCATCCTAGGTGTATATGACTTTCAGCCAAACACAACCTGAGTTATAATAAAAAACACCCTGGCTCTTCCAAGCTTTATTATGGGAGTGAATGGTTCCTTAGATTTTGAGGCCCAAAAAAGTGCAAAAGGCTCCAAGGGGTTTAATAAAGGCCTTCTGAAGCTGTTTTTGTATTATTTATAACTTTATAAACTATAATCTGGCCAAAAGTGAGTATAGTTCTGGCGGAGTGAAATATAACCAGGCGAATTGACTAATGCAGAAGCACAGGATAGAGCAAAGCAAAACACCAGTCATGAATTAGAAGCCTAAAACGACAATTTTTTTCTACTCCTACATCATAAGTCGGGTTAGAGGTCACTCTTCCACCGGAACTTGACTAACATACAGCCGTTACCGAAAGCCATTGATTCTAAATTATAAAGTTATGAATATGAATACTTTCTCATTGCTTAGCTTCAGAAGGCCCATATTAACCCTCTGGAGGCGTATGGATTACTTTAATGGGATACTTCACCTTTTTTCATATTAAACTATGTTATTCCCTTAACTAAGAAGAGTGAACTGAACGTACTGTATTACTGCCTGTGTGAACTGAACTTTGAACTAGTTCATGTAGAAAGTGAAGTTTCCCAACCCTGCCTCTCTCGTCTCAGTGCTTGCACTAAATCGCTCAGTCTTGCGGTGACGCTTTGATTGCACTTAGCTTAGCCCAGTTCATTCTTTAGGATCCAAGCAGAGCAGCGACCAAACACCTCCACGTTTTCCATATTTAAATACAGTTACACGAGTAGTGTAACTCGACCAAGAATGGTGGCACAAAATAAAACGTTGGACTTTTTTAAGCCTGCAAAATGGATAACTATAATGTATGGTGGAATAACACAGCAAGTGCCTGGGAGCACTTCGACTTATTTGCAGTCTTTATTACAATTTCAGTAATAAAAGACTTTAAACAAATAACCATTTAAATGCTTAGGATGTTTGTGTTATCAGACATTAAAACGGTGTCTCGTTAGGGAATGTTTCTGTATGTAAAATTATATAATTTTCTATTAATTCAATAAAGAGTGTGAGCTCACTAGGGAATACCAATATGGTGGTATGGAGGATTCCCTTTTTATGATGTCATGAGCAATCCAGTTCTCTATATAAATCAGTGGACAATTTTCATTTTGGGGTGAATTAACCCTTTAAATAAAGTTTAAGGGCGTGTTTCACACTTGGCATGTTTGGTTCGATTAAAACAAACCCTGGTGCGATTGCTCTGTTTTTTGTGGTTCATTTGAATAAGGATTAACACTGCCATCGGAACCCTGATGCACACGAAACAAGAGGACTGAGACCACTGAAAAGATTTATTTCTTTTTTGGTCCAGACTAATGGAACCAAACTATAAGTCTGAACACACCCTAAATGCAGTTGTCGCCTCCAAAACCTTAGTGTTTACACGTAGCCATTTACTCCTAGTCAGAATTCTCTGTTTAATGTGGTCCATCACTTTTCACATCAGATGTTTCAGTATGGCATCATATAGTGTCATATCATATAATAAATAAATTATATATATATATTATTTATTTATTTATATTTATTTTTCAGTTCTCACATATTTAAATAAACTTGTTTTTCCTTGCAAAGGTTGTTGAATCAGAAGAAGAGGCCTCTGATGCTTCATCTTCTACAGTTGAAGATGAAGACAAAGAATTCAGTGCCAATGAAGAAGATGGTTAGTAGAGTTTTTTTTAGATAGCCCGACACTTAACTTGGGTATCCTATTGATTTGGACAGAAAGTTATAACTTAAATTATTCTATGCTTTGCTTCAGCAAAAGATGAAGAAGACACTATTGCAGCCCAGGAAGTTATTGAAGGAGAGGGAGACCATGCAGAGGAACTGGATGATCTTGCTAAAGAGGGTAAATTAAATACTGAAATATATTGAAGTGTAACACTATAATTTAAATACACACATCATGCTAATGGTCAAAGGTTTGGGCTCTGTATACCAATTTTATAAAAAAAACTTATAATTTTTTTTTCTTTCAGGATTCTTTGAATAGAAAGTTCTATCACAATTTTTTGAAATTTGACATTTATTAGAAAGCTTTTGAAACATCACAAACGTTTTTACTGTCTTTTTTTAATCGGTTTCATTAACAGTATTTATTTCTTTTAAAAAAATCACACTGAAATCCAAACCTTTGACTAATATTACAAAGAGTAATTATGACTTAAGCAGTAATTTCTTGAGGTCATATTGTTTCTTGTGGTTTCTTTATTTCACAGGGGAGATGAGCTTGGAAGAGCTCTTAGAGAAGTACAGAGGAGCGTATGCCTCTGATTTTGAGGAGCCCTCAGCATCACCAGATTCCTCAGAAGAATCAGAGGGAACCGAGGTGGAAGCGGAGGAAGAGACGGAAGGAGAGGACAGTGCTGATGATAGTGACTCCTCCTCAGGTGAGCTGACATTTATGAATTATTGTATGAAGTGTCCAAATAAAGCACATCATCATATTTTCCTACTGTGATCCACTCAATATTCAGGTTCCCAAGCGGCTGTAGACAGTGACGAAGAAGAAGTGGATGAGGACGTGCAGGAGAGTGATGATAATGAGGATGATGATGGAGGTGAGGGAATGGAGCTTCTGCTGAGAGAGGGAGACCATAGTCCCTCTGTCGCAACATCTCCCCGACCTAAGAAAGAAATCAGCCACATTGCTGCTACTGCTGAGAGCCTTCAACCAAAGGGATATACACTGGCAACAACAAAGGTAGCAACACAAACCCTCAGAAACAATGACTGAAGAACACAGTTTCTGTTTATCATTAACTGCAGTTGTTTGTTTTCTTTTTAATATAAGGTCAAAACACCGATTCCATTTCTGCTTCACGGTACTTTGCGTGAGTACCAGCACATTGGACTGGACTGGTTGGTCACCATGAATGAGAAGAAACTCAATGGTATACTTGCAGATGAAATGGGGCTTGGCAAAACCATCCAAACCATCGCTCTGTTAGCTCATCTAGCTTGTGTAAAGGGTAAAAAGTCCACATAAATACATATTTCCCTATGATGCGTTTTGAAAATATAGTCGATATATGCAGTTCGACAAACATTTTCTCTATTTCTCTTACAGGTAACTGGGGTCCACATTTGATCATTGTGCCCACCAGTGTAATGCTCAACTGGGAGATGGAGTTGAAGCGTTGGTGCCCAGGGTTCAAAATCCTCACCTACTATGGCAGCCAGAAGGAGCGCAAACTCAAGCGACAAGTAATGAATACAATAATGAGCATATTTATTACAAATTAAGATGTTTTAAAACACAAACTCCTTTTAAAAACACCTTACAAAACACTCTAAAGCAATTATTGCTTTAGCCTTTCAATCCTTGTGATTTAAAAATTCTTTTTTCTTTTTATAATTTCTCAGGGCTGGACCAAACCCAATGCTTTCCATGTTTGCATCACCTCATATAAGCTAGTACTGCAAGATCATCAGGCTTTTAGACGCAAGTCTTGGAGGTACCTCATTCTGGATGAAGCCCAGAACATCAAGAACTTTAAGTCTCAGCGCTGGCAAAGCTTGCTCAACTTTAACAGGTACTTGTATACAGTCTTTTCTATGATCCACTTGATAATTTATTGCTACAGATCTCATTCTAACGTTAATTTCTTTGCATTTTATGTGTAAACCCTATTTAATTATGTGAACTCAATGTAATGAGTTTATTTACAATTTTTCCTTTCAATTCTCTGTCTTCCATGCAGTCAAAGGCGATTGTTGCTCACAGGTACCCCTCTCCAGAACAGTCTAATGGAGCTTTGGTCTCTTATGCACTTCCTCATGCCTCACGTTTTCCAGTCCCACCGTGAGTTCAAGGAGTGGTTCTCAAACCCGCTCACTGGCATGATTGAAGGGAGCCAGGAGTACAACGAGGGCTTGATCAAACGACTTCACAAGGTAGTACAAGTTTATGAATTGTGTTGGACATTTTATTTGACCTATTCCGTTTATGGATGTAGCACAAACACAGGCAAAGTTCATAACAGAAACATGGGAACTGTTTTTATTTGTAATATTATAAGGAAGCGTTTATGCATTTGGCTTTTTACATAAGCTTCCTTCGTCTCCCTCTCTTTCTAGGTGCTACGACCCTTTCTGCTGCGAAGAATAAAAGCAGATGTGGAAAAACAAATGCCCAAAAAATATGAGCATGTTGTGCGCTGTCGACTCTCGAAAAGACAGCGTTTTCTCTATGATGACTTCATGGCCCAGGCCTCGTAAGTAACCAGGGCAAGCTGACATGGAGCTCTGGCCTTGGAGGATAAATAATTTGCTAATTTTTTTCTCATACATCAGATGGTATGGGTTTTTCTTATTGTTTGTCTTTTTTTGTGCCCATATACTCCCAGGACACGAGAGACTTTAGCCAGTGGTCATTTCATGTCTGTCATCAACATCCTGATGCAGCTGCGGAAAGTGTGTAATCACCCTAACCTGTTTGATCCAAGGCCCATACATTCTCCCTTCATCACAAAGGCCATCATCTTTTCTACTGCTTCACTGGTTCAGCGGGCTCTTGAGACCTCACCATTTGAGGTAAGTGGTAGAAGACCAGCAATTACTAAACCTAAATTACTTGTTTATCTATAGTAGGTGAGTTTAGCTCCAACCTGCCCCAACACATTTGCATCAAAGTTTATAGTAATCCTGAAGACAGTGGCTGTATTTGAAATCACACTATGCTAGGGCTGCACGATACTGCACGAGTATTGCGATAACGATATTTAATGCCATATAACATTTCCATAGAGAAATGCTATTTTTATTAAGCTTTTAAAACAATAATAATTTATTTTGGTCAAATTTGGATAAACAACATATGCATGCAACACACAAATGCTTGGCACATAAAATAAATGTAATTTATTCCTCTCTGTGATGCGCCTAATATCCAGTCCGAGGACATGAACAGCTTCGAATATAACGTACGGTAATTATGACATGGCATTAATGCAGCATAATTTCCCACAATACAAATAAACAAGTTTTTTTTTTTATCTTGACTTTATTTGAGACTCTTTGAGCTCTGTATTTTCACATTCTTCCATGTTTTTTCCATCATTGTAAATAACAATGAAGTAGCCCTGTCCATTTCTAACATTAATGTATAGCCAAGGTGGTATAAATGATGAAATCTTAATCGGTAGTAATTGCCGTTGTAATTCTTCGTTCAGAAATTTAAGTCGTGTGTTTCTTTTTTCTTATCTGAACCCTTAGTGAAGGTTAATTAAAATAATTTAATTTTTTCAAAGCGCTGTGACTTATCCATGTTTGACCTGGTTGGCCTGGAGCAGCGCGTGTCTCGATACCAGGCAGATGTTTTCCTGCCTCAGAGGAAAGTGACGCATCAGCTTATTCAGGAAATCATGGAGTCCCCTGACCCTCCTCCCAGACCGAAGCCTGTTCGCATGAAGGTCAACAGGTATGTTGTTTAACCCTTGTGCCTCCATCCTTAGGGACATTTTTGGCCTTTACAGTTTTGTTTTTTGATCACTTTGCCTGTGTTAATGCTAACTGCATAAAATTTGGCACAGTCGTGTATTTTTTTTTTTGTAATTTCACTGCTATTTCCTTATTTTTTGCTGTAGGTACACAAAATACTCCCTCTGTGCACCTTTTGGACAAAAATGGCCCCATTAAAACCCATTAAAACTGCATTTTTTATCACATGGCCATTTAACTATAAAATGATGCAATCTTTGCAAGGCTTTCATTCTGTTGGCAAGACTTCAAAATTTAATTTTTTACTATTTTTTTTTTTTTATCAGATGGTGCCATTTTTTCAGGTTTGGTCTATAAAGTAAATTATTCCTGTTTTCTGCTTCGGCATATTATAGAGCCAATTGGATAAATTATGCAACGATATTTGTGTGGGTGTGTTAGTATGGATGTCAGAGTGTGGTTGGTATGTGTGTTATAATATATATATATATGAAGAGTTCAGATGCAAAAGCCTCTAAATGCCATTTGAAATTTTCTTCTTTAATGATGATTTTTATCAAACTTGTATATTTAAGTTCAGTAATTTCACTTAAATGACAATTAATAGGTAATTATCATTGCCATTTAAGTGAAATCACTGAACTTAAATATACAAGCTTGATAAAAATGATCATTCTAGAAGAAAATTTCAAATGGCACTTAGAGGCTTTTGCATCTGAACTCTTCATATATATATATATATATATATATATATATGTATGTGTGTGTGTGTGTGTGTGTGTGTGTGTGAGTGTGTTTGTGTGCGTAATATTGAGAGAGGAAAAACTCAACTGCAAATCTAAAATCCAATCCCTGTGTGCACCAGTCTAGTTTTGCTGCATGACATCCAATGGGGAAAGTCTGTTACTGTGCCTAAACAAAATCTTAATAAAAGCTAGATAAGATATCAACCTCAAATTTGGAACAGAACTTATTTAAATTAATGGCTTTGATTTTCTAGCTGTTTGAGTTCAACCTGTTTTATAAAATAATTTTCATAAATAATTTTCATAAACCTAAACCTATATAATATTTTTGAAATTGACTTGTTCATTTTTTTATTTAAAATGATACCAAACTACAGTCTGTGCTCCTAAGCTTCAAATTTTTATGACAGTTTTTTGACGTGGACATTTTTGTTCTCTATGGAGCTATGTGTAACTTTTTTTTTTTAAATGAGGCACAAGAGTTCAAATAGTTAAGCACACAATTCTGATGTATAAAATATTCACTTGAGTTAAATAAATGGTATTATTTTGACTTGTTTTGTGATTTTGTTTGTATTTTTTAATAAAGTTTCCGCATGTGCTTGCTTCCCTGCAGGATGCTCCAGCCTCTTCCTAAGTCTGATGGGCGTTCAGCAGTGAACAGCCCTCGGTCAGCGTGTCCTACCACCACCACCACCACAGTTCAGACTCCAAAGCCTCTAATCACAGAGGTTACCCCTTCACAAGCTCCCTCCCAACCACCACCTCAAGGTCAGCTCAAGGGTCCAAGCCTCACATCCTGATCAGCAGCATCTTTCATGTAATGGTGTAGTTGGGAAGAGAATAACATTTTACTCTTATTTCAGTTTGTCCTGTTACTCCTGTCACTACATTAAGAGCTCCAGTGGCTCCTAGTAGCGTCCCTCCTGCACCTGCAGTCAGGCCGCCTGCCCCCCAGCCAGTGACTGTGCGTCCCTCAGCACCCTCCAGCATCACAACGGTGTCCACTCCCCCTCAACCACCAAGCAACATTATGACTCAAAGGGTCCTGCTCAGTCCAGATATGCAGGCTCGTTTGCCATGTAAGTTAATTGCATCACACTTGTTTCACTTCATTGTTTATTGCCATGAAACAATAGTTGCACATAGTTAAAGAATTTTCATTTATCTCCCACGTGTACAGCCGGTGAAGTTGTAAGTATCGCCCAGCTGGCCTCCCTGGCAGGCCGACCAGTGTCGTCCTCTCAGGGCAGTAAACCAGTAACCTTCCAGCTACAGGGCAACAAGCTCACACTCTCTGGGACTCCACTGCACCAGGTCCCTGTTCCACAGCCACGACCCATCCAAGGTATCCACTGTCATCCACATAAATATACCTGTGGAAATAATCCACTGCCTGCTTTGGATAGGTTTCGCTTTTCCTGCACGCCTTCAGTCTTTCTGTTAGTGTATGGTGTAGCCTAACACTTTCTTCTGTGGTTGTGCCCTTTAGGAAATGTAATGCATCTGGTTTCCAGTAGTGGGCAGCACCACCTTATTAGTCAGTCAGCTCAGGTGGCAGTTCTTCACACAGTTAGTCAGACAGGTAGCAGCTCAGCAAATCCATACCCAGCCAGCACAACCCCAACCTGCTCTGGACTAGCATTACCTTTCACCGCTACTCAAGGTATTGGTGCTGTCCTTGAGTTCCTTTTTGTTTGGGTACAGCCTGTATCCTGGGTACCAAACTACCTGTTACTCAGCAGAGCATGTGCATGGGTGTTCTGGCACTGGTTCTTTTTTTCTAACTGCATGTGACGGCTTATTTGGATGGTTTGTTGGCTACTTAATAGGTCCAGTTGAAAGTATTTTAAAACTAAAAAAGTAAACGCAAACAACACTGCAAATATTAATTCAAATGTTGTAGATGGTACATGAGGTTTGAAATGGTTTGTTTTGTTTTGCATTTTTATTGATTTGTTCATTATTTAATTAGTTAGTGGATTAAATTTGTTCTCATTTCTCAATTTTGCTTTATTTCTAGTTTTTGTTTTATTCTGTTCCTTCAAATCTAATTTATGCTGGCTAAATTTATGAAGTTGTAATTGTCCATTCTTCTATTGAGTTAAAAGACTAAAGAATTGAACTACCATTCAGGTTGTGGTCAGAATAGTTTTTTCTTTTGGGAGAAATTCTTCTTTTATTCAGCAAGGATGCATTAAAAAGTGGCAGTAAAGACAAATCTTTACAAAAGATTTTTTTTTCAAATATATCTTTTCTATTTTCTATTCATCTTCTTTCTACTTTCTATTCATCAAAAAATCCTGGAAGAAATGTATCAGTGTTTCCAGACACATTTATAAGCAGTTTTTCAACATTTTTAATAAGAAGAGATATTTCTTGAGCACCATATTGAGCATATTAGAAGGATCATGTGACACTGAAGTCTGTTGTAATCATTTTAATGTAGTAACTGTTTAACTGTATTTTTTATTTAAATAAATGCAGATTTATGCAAACAAGACTTTTTTCCAAAAAATAAAATAAAATAAAAATCGTATTGATCAGTAGTGTATTTGATAAATGCAAGACGTTGAATTGATAGCTCTGCTACTGTAATCAATAGTCTGGTGCCCAGTCTAACTGAACTTTCTTTCCAGGCGAAATACTTGTGTAGTTAGTAAACTCTTTCGCTCTCTATTTTTAATTCCAGTCCCAACATCCATGGTAAGTGGACCTGGAATTGTAAAGATTGTTGTACGACAGGCACCAAGTAAAGAAGGAGGGTCAATCCCTACTCTAGCCGTGCCTCCTTCTCCTCGTCCTGCTCCTCCTCAGTCGGTCACCCTTCACCCACATGGCACTCCAAGCTCTGTTGTTAGAGCGTCGGTTGCTTCACAGCCTCCACACCGGCCTCCGGTTTACGCTGCTCCACCCCGAACTGTTGCTTCCTCTCAGACTCCACCCACTCGTCCTGTGTTGAGAGTAGTACAGGGACCAGCACCAGCACCAGCCCCAGAACCACCAGGTAAGAATTTACTTAATTTAAGCAGTTAAGGAAACAAATTATATTAAGTAGAATAATTATGCATTCAATACTCTGTACTTTTCAGTTACGAAGGCAAATTCATCATCAGTACGTGAGGACAGTAATAATGATGTGATAACTTTGCACATGAGCACTCCTAAGCCTACATCCTCATCTCGGAGTAGTGGGTCAACATCTCAACGCCCCCGCATTCAGCCGCCACCACCACCACGTTCCCCCTTCTACGTGGTAAGTAATGGGGTGTTAATCTTACATTGATTAATTATTTAACTCAAAAAAGGAGCATAACACTGTTTCTACTTTAAATCTGTTTAATTACAACCCACATCTGAGTGTGTAATATTTTGTAAATATAGATGCTTCTTAATGCAAGCATCATTAACTACATCATTGATAATGCATTTAGGTACATTTTCTGTACCCTTATTCTTGGTATAAAAATTTGGTGACCTATTAGTTGTTTGTCTGTTTCTGTAGCTCTTACTTATTTGTTGCTTAACTTATTTGGTTCTGACAGTCATGGCTTGCAGACAGGCGAAAGGCTCAGCGAGACGACAAAATCTCTCAAATCATGCGCATCAATGATCTGCACTGCAGCTCTAAGCCTGTGTATGGCCGTGAGGTGCTGGACTTTCTAACCTTCCTCCCAGGCCATTGTCCATCTCCACCACGTCCTGTTGTAAACAACTGGAGTTATTCGGGTTATAGCTCCTGCCTCATGGCTCAGTCACACAATACAAGTAGTATTTTGGAAAAGAGCAAAGTCCTGAAGGAAGCCATCAACAACTCTGAGGACAAGCTTCAACTTCTCTCTGAGGTCATAGAGAGGTATAGCTCACAAACATTCATAAAGCACTAAACTTTTATTTGATTTAGAAAGGAAGTATGAAAACTGCATCTGAAAATAATAGTGTCACACAGCGTTTAAATGTGTTCCCTCGTTCCACAGGTTCACTTTTGTCATTCCTCCAGTAGAGGCAAAGCCTATCACCATGCACAGCTGCCACCCACCTCCCTCCCTCAGACACCAGCAATCTCTTTTCTCCTCTGTTTTATCTTCCCGTCTCTCCCCGCTTACACACACGCTCCATCGCATCCAGTGCAACATGAGGACACATTTCCCTGACTTGAGGCTTATTCAGTATGACTGTGGTAAGTACTGGGACCCCAGAGTGTGCATTTTAGTATTTCATTGTACTTAAATTGACCGTGTTTACACATATATAAAATGTGTGTTGTATCAAAAATAAAAGGAAAATAAATGTTTTGTGGCTGTTTATCTGTGTTTAGGTAAACTGCAGACACTCCACCTCCTACTTAGAAGGTTGAAGGCTGGAGGGCACAGAGTCCTCATCTTCACTCAGATGACACGTATGTTAGATATACTTGAGCAGTTCCTTAACTACCATGGGCATATCTACCTGCGGTTGGATGGAAGTACACGTGTAGAACAGAGACAGGTGAAGTACTCGAATTGTGTATTTGTGATTTTGTAAGTTGACTTGGGCAAGTAGAACAAAGAAACTGTTTTTGTCTCTCAGCTGTGACATTATTGGAAAGTTTTTTTTCTACCTTTCAGGCTCTGATGGAGCGCTTCAATGCAGACCGTCGCATATTCTGCTTCATCCTGTCCACCCGCAGTGGAGGTGTAGGTGTTAACCTTACTGGGGCAGATACAGTGGTGTTCTATGACAGTGATTGGAACCCAACCATGGATGCCCAAGCTCAGGACCGGTGTCACAGAATTGGACAGACAAGAGATGTTCACATCTATAGGTAAAGGCAAAACTCAAAAGTTTTTATATATATATATATATGAAGAGTTCAGATGCAAAAGCCTCTAAATGCCATTTGAAATTTTCTTCTTTAATGATGATTTTTAGCAAACTTGTATATTTAAGTTCAGTAATTTCACTTAAATAACAATTAATTGGTAATTATCATATTTAAGTGAAATACAGGACCAATTTTTGTTAATAATAAATATATTAATAATGATTAGCATAGTATAAGGACATTTGACATTTTAAAATGTATTTGTTTAGGCTAATCAGTGAACGCACGGTTGAAGAAAATATTCTGAAAAAAGCCAATCAAAAAAGGATGTTGGGAGATATGGCTATTGAAGGGGGAAACTTTACCACTGCCTTTTTTAAGGAGGTATGTTTTACTTTTAATGTAGTTTTCACAGTGAAATCTTAGATTGGAATACATTTTAGAAGGATTGATTGCCCAACTCTCTTTCCCACAGCAAACCATCAGAGAGTTGTTTGATGTGTCAGAGGGAGAGAAGAAAGTGGCTGAACTGAGTGTGCCTCAGACAGATGATGAAGAATCCATCAATAAACAACACACCACCATTTTGGAACAGGTAATTTTAAATATATCCAATTTGTGTGTTTCATGTATTTGTTTGTTTCTAAGAATTTTATTAAATTTTTTACAAACCATTGAACATTTTATTTTATGTTATCTTAATATTAGGCCCTGTGTCGTGCTGAGGATGAAGAGGATATTGTGGCTGCATCTCAAGCCAAGGCTGAGCAGGTGGCTGAGCTTGCAGAGTTTAACGAGAACATCCCTCTAGATGATGGTGACAGCCGAGACCAGGAAGAGGAGGAGCTTTCCAAAGCTGAGCAGGAAATCAATGCCCTGGTTGAACAGGTAGGCATGATATTTATACTTTTATGGAATGTGAATTTACCTGTTTTTATCATAATGTTTTCCAGTAAATTTCAATTGTCTCTATTCTTATCAGCTCACTCCCATAGAACGATATGCCATGAATTTCCTTGAGGCTTCCCTTGAAGATATTTGCAAAGAGGAGCTGAAGCAGGCAGAGGTAAAAATGAAAACAATAACCAAGCTTTGATTACTTTCTTGTTGAATAAACTTTTAGCAGTCATACCCACAAGATTTGTCTTTACTTTACAGGAGCAAGTTGAGGCTGCAAGGAAAGGGTTGGACCAGGCAAAGGAAGAAGGTTTGAAACTGCATCAGTCATCTGACAGTGATGAAGAGGATTCCATACCTCACAGTACCGAGGAACCTACTCCAACCCGTCGCCCTCGCAAACACAAAGAGAAAGGGGCTCCTTCTACAAGGGTCAGTGGCAGGCTCAGAGGTACACCTGCTGACGATATACCCCTAACCCGTCTGTCGCCAGAAAGGAGCAAGCGGGGGGCATGGATGAACTCTGAGCGCAGTATAAGCCAAACCCCTGGGTCCACACAAAAGTCGCCCCAACACAGAGAAGTGCCTGAGAAGCTTCGCAGTGGTCCGCGTGGGCGAGGGACAACCAAAGAATCTGAATCGCTCATGTCATCAGAAAACCAGACAGTCCAAACCAACCAGCAACTCTCAGATTCAACAACCTTGTCCCCTGCTATGCAGGGCTCAGTTCAAAAAATTAGAAATGTGCCATCCCCCCACCTGCAGCCCATCTCCCCTTCAAGCTCTGTGCCTTCAGCTGCTGTATCTCCTGCAATAGACAGAAACAATTGTGGCCATCAGTCCTCCGCTTCTGCTGCATGCATAGAGGATGGTGAAGAGCAGGGGGGAGAGGCAGTGTCTGAAACTGTACAGTGTAGCAGAAGAGATAGGAGAGCATCTGCATCATCAGACTCCATCTGTTCTCCTGAGCATCATTCTGAACAGGAGGGTCAGCTTTCCCTTTCTCCTACTCTTGCATCTCCTAACTCTCGTTCACCACGAAAGCGGCAGTCTGCTGAAAGTGAAATTCTCAAGGGACTTCCAGAAGATTCTCCATCCGCCAAAGTCCTTCGAAAGCTTCCAGGTCGTCTAGTCACGGTGGTGGAAGAGAAAGAGCCTAAAAGGAGACGGAGGGGAATGAGTGGAAGTGGAGGAGTGCACAACGAGGGTTCATCAGAGGACACTGAACAGCTAGAACCAGTTCAAGAACCAGCCACTCAGTCATCTGATGGATCAAGTCAAACTCTTAAAGACTCTCTTCCTATATCAGTCCCCACATCCGTAGCTTCTTCGTCACCAACACCACTACCACCCACCACAAGAGCAAGAACAGGCCTCTCCGTCACAGTTTAGTCCAGGGAGAGGGCACCACCCCTGTTCTCCAACACACTATTCACCAGATATGCCTGTCCTACGGAACTTACCAGTGCGCCGAAGGCTTGAGACAGAGTCTAGAATGGCTGCACAGTTAGGAGAGCAATTTCTAGGTAGAGGTAGAGGGGTAGATCGGAGGTCTGCTTTGTCACCAAAGAAACCAGAAACTAATTCAGACAAGGATGGTGCTCCTCAAAGTGACTCAAATGTCACCAATATTATATCAGTGAAGCGTAAGAGGGGCAGGCCACCTAAAACACCCTCTAGGGCACCAGAGCTCCCAGAAGACAAGAAACCAGTAACCCAGAAAACCAGTCCTGAGCAGAGTCCCCCTCACTCACCAAAACGGAAAAGGGGTCGTCCACGTAAAGATTCCACCACAACTACAAGCTCAGCACCATCTTCTCCTTCTACAGGTGCTCCTTCCTCCCAAGAGCCTAATTTGTCAACTTCCAATGTTATGCCCGTGACTCTGCCTGCTGTAAGTAAAACTTCACCAATAAGCTCTCCAACACTCAACCCCACTTCACCTTCAAATGCTGCTGAATTGTCATCTTCTAAACCTGATTCAGAAACAAATCAATCCACTACGTCTCTTTTACTGTCCTCTATGTATAGAGACTCTGAAAATATGTCCTTGTCTACATCAGAACATGGTGTAGACTCACAAGGTGATACTCACACCAGTTCAAACCCTGTAATCGCATGCATTGACTCTGACACCAACACACTTAAAACTTCTCCACACAAGATTTCTACTGCAGAGGTCTCTCAGACTTGTACTGCTTCTTCCCTTACACTACAGCTTCCAAGTCCCATCAGAGAGCCTCCCACTTGTACCCACTTTTCCCCCATCCATGCAGAGGAACTTACTCAAATGCCTGTACTTTCTAAGACCATTGAAATCACAGCATTTTTAGAACCTTCGGCTGCCTCAGTGTCTGCTGTAGAGGCTGAGGAAAATTCACTCACAACTAACCAACAAATAGATAATTTGCAGTGCTCAAATACATCAACTCATGTCACATCACAACCCTTACACAGAAGCAGTGCAACTGCAGACTCTTCACAAACCTTTGTAGAACCCATTTGCAATATAGCTGCATCTCCTGTTGCCACTCATCAGTCATTCAGCAAACCTTTTCCACCTGCTTTGACTTCTGGGATTGAGCCAGAATCATCTCCATCTAAATCAGAGGCACCAGAGGCTTCGGTTACACTGACTCTGTCAACAGTCCAACAGTCAACATCGAAGTCTGATCAAACTTCTGTTCCTACCTCACAACTTCAAATTACAGCCATCGAAGCAGCAACAGATTCAGCACCTGTATCAAACAAAATGTCTTCAACATCTTTCCAATCTCCATCTACAGCTAATCAGACAAAATCAGATTCTCTGTCAACACTCAGTTATAAAGATGCAGATTCTTCTCCACCCCAAAACATGCCAGTGGCTGATAATCATGAAGGCCAACATTCATCCAAGGATGAGGTTGTAACTGAGCAGGAGGAGGAGGTTGTAACTGAGGAGACAGAGAAAATGGAAGTAGACTGTGTTGCTGAGGATATTGCAGGAGGAAATGATGCTGTTTTATCGCAGCCAAAAAGAAAGAAATTGGATAGTTTGCCAAAGGAACAGACACCCAGTGCCTCTAGAATTGCCTCATCAAATTCGGATATTGAGACTCATGATGCTCCCAAGAGTGATGGACCTGTTGAGCCATCAGAAGAGGAGAGAACGGAGGACAGAGAGACCAGAACTTCTGCCAAAAAACGGAGCATTAGTAGACAAAGCAGCCAGGAGTCAGTTCGTTCCTCTTCCCCATCTTCTGTATCCTCCAGTGGTACAAGATCATCTCAGTCCAAAAAGCTTGGAGAGAGTAGGAGGCCCTCAAAAAGGAAACGGGATGATATCAAGTCTGAAAAGGGGAAAACTGAAGAAGGGTCTGACAGAAAGCACCAGTCCAACTCTTCTTCCTCATCTTCAGACTCTGAGGACTCTAATCGTATAAAAAGATGTCTGACAAGATCAGCTCAAAAGAAGCTGGAGAAAGATGGCACTATTGCTAAAAATGACGAGAGCCGTAATAGACAAAGGGGAAGGTCAGATAAGAAGGGTCAAACCACCAATACCACAGAAGGGGAGTCCAGTGGTGAAACGTGTTCAAGAGCAACCCGGAAATCTGCTGGCCCACAGTCCAATACTTTAGCTTCCCCTGAACCTGAGGTACTGGGCAAACGCTGCTCAGCCCTTAATGCTGCAGCCAAGCTCTTTGCAATGAGGGGAAGAGGACCAGACACACCCAGTCCTAGCCCCAAAAATAAGACTGCTATACAGCAAAGCAGAGCACTGTCTTCTGAAAGAAGCAGTAAACCCAAGGGGAAAACAGGACAGGACTCTCCTAAGATGTCTAACAGTAAAGCAGAGAGTGGTAGGCAAACCCCCAATCAGACAATTGAATCACCACAGTCCTCCTCTTCTGCTCGATCCACTCGGCAGCGACCGGGCAGCCTTGTTCCCCCCTTGGAAACAGAAAGGGTTAAAAAAGAAGAAAAGAAAAAAGCATCTGATCAGAAGGAAGGTGAATATGAAAATAGAGAGACCAGGTCTTCAAGAGGTCATAGTGCCTGCAGTAGTATAAGCAGTGAAAGAGGAGCAGGCAGCAGTAGAAGTCGGAGTAGCAGCAACAGCAGTCAGCGCACCCACAGTCTAAGCTCGCAGAGTACAGAGCCTACCCGCTCCCGTTCCAGAGCAGCCTCCTCTGGTAGTGATACAGAGAGAGGCAAAAGTATTCGACTGAAGAGTTATGGAGGCAGAGACAGGGAGAGCAGGAAAGAGAAGAGGTCCCAGAAGCATGACAAACCTGAACTGAGTGCCGGGTCCAGTGATGGGACTCCGGACAGGGTTCTCAGGAGTGTAGCTGCACTGGCAGCCGCTCAGGCACGTACTCCAGCTAGCAACACGCGCTCTTCATCCACCCAACACCGGCACTCCAAGACGTGATATGGAGTGGATAAATCATCTCTAGGTTTAAACAAGGAGTTAGGTGACAATTTCAGCAAGGAGATAATGCAGATTTTATGGAGGAATGGGGATCAATTTTATTTAAGGCCAAGGTTTAGCTGTGAGAGAAGACGGGGGGGGGGAAAGAGATCTGTTGCACATTGTAATTAGATCTGACCTCGACTTTGCCACTCAGCTATCTTAAGTCAAGCCATTTACCGTGTGGAAAGGGTCTGTAGATGCAGGACAATTATATGAAGATCATTTGGTCACCTATTTAATAATGGGTCCTAATAATTTGAGTTAAAAGCAGAGAATATTTTACCCTGACACAAAGACTTTGCAACTTCAAAGTAGCTGGGCAAGAGGCAAGATTTATTATTTGTTCACACTATGTACTGTAATCATAAAGACTGGAAATACTATGTGAAGTATATGTTAGAGGATTTGTTGCATAGATTGTACACTTTTTACAGAGTTTACTAGTGCTGCAAATGGTATTGATGAGGAAGAAATTCATTAATGCTACATTGAATGGATTAGTGGGGATTGTACAATTGTAAAGTTTTTAGACCGTTGCATTCTCAATATTGTTTGTCAGCTGTTTTGACAATTAAGTCAGTTGATGAATTACAAAAATATCTTCTATATCTTCCAGGGTATGAAGAAGAGGGCAGGTCTAAAAAAAAAAAAAAATAGATCCCCCACCCCCCTCTGCACTATGCTGGAGTTACAATTTGCTTAGATCACCTGTCTTTTGTAATGTTTCAGTCCATTACTTTTAAGTTCTGCTGCTGCCTGCTTTCCCCCGTTGGTACATCTGAAATGTCTCAGACATTGGAGTTGTACATTGTGATTTAGGTGTTTTTCTTTTTTCTTTTCAGAACATCAACTTGTCTGTACATCTTTACTGGTACCTCACTGCATTTTGTAAGCTCTAAAGTATGTGTATCTCTTGAGCTTGTGATGAATCTTGAAATTTGCTTGTCATTTGCTTTATAGCAGTACAGAAATGGGAGACAACATCTTGCTATTTTTCTTATCTCTTTCCCAAAGTGTTAGTCGTCATGATCATCTTTACACGTTCAATTGTATTCTCAAACACAGAATCTAAATGAGTTTGATCAAATGAGAGTGCCTGTTGATCCATACAAGGATCCATGTTAACGTATAGACATTTGGTCATCTGTAGTGCTTTAAGTGTAATAAGCTCTTCCACCCTTCATCGTAACAACGCCATTTCTGTTTGTGCAACCAAAACTGAAATCAGTTCTCCAGTGAAAATTGCTACGGTCAGCTATTTTTACTTCTGGAGTATTGGTCCTTTTTATGAAGGGACTGATGCTGGGTTGGTAGGATACACCTGAAATAACTTCATAAGAGGAATATCTTCTTTTTTTCTTCCTTTTTTTTTGCTCAACATTGGCAGTCAAGTGAATTGTAAGATAGCTTTTCTTTGCCCTTTTTGGACAGAAAGGTGTTTGGGGGGTATTTAGTAGAATATGGTGATGGTCTTATTTTCATTTTGATTTGTCTATTCTAATTTGTTACATTCCTTATGTTCCCTTGTAATTCCACATTGTTTTACTTGAAAGATTGAAACAAAAATGTAAGTTGAATAAAAAGACCAAAAAAGACATCAATTGTTTAAATGTCATCTTAAATTCTCATTCAAATTGTAAATCATTTTAATAATGATTTTCTGTATCTATCTTCAGGGGTGACGGATTGATAAACAGACATGGTATTTATGACTGATAATTTTTTATACTTTGCGGTAAAAATGTCTCTCATACTGACTATTTGTATGTTTGTTTTTTGTGGTGTCCTGTAAATAGTAACCGTTAATACGGTTTAGATCAGTGATCTAAAAAAAATAGATTAGCATCACCAGAGTGAGAACCAATCAAAGATCAAGTATTTGCAAACGTGAATTGAGATTGGACATCTCTGTCCCCTTGACCTCGTGCTCTCATTTCGTTTTGAGAGCACTTGGCAAC